ACAGTGCACCACCAACTGGTGTGAAGCAGCACAGTGCACCACCAACTGGTGTGAAGCCAAACAGTGCACCACCAACTGGTGTGAAGCCACACAGTGCACCACCAACTGGTGTGAAGCCGCACAGTGCACCACCAACTGGTGTGAAGCCAAACAGTGCACCACCGACTGGTGTGAAGCAGCACAGTGCACCACCGACTGGTGTGAAGCAGCACAGTGCACCACCGATTAGGTGTGAAGCAACAGACATGCATCCACACTTACTTTCCTATAACACAACTAAAGTAGGATCCTGTGATGGGTGATGTCATTCTGTATGTTGTGAAAATGTGTTGCTCTGATTGGTTGATAAACAAAGCTGTTTGGCCAATGGTGAGGCACAATAAGGTTAGGTGGGACATTCAAACTAGAGAGAGAGGAAGGAGAAAGACAGAGCAGGAGATGCTGCCAGCAGGAGAAGCAAGATGTAAAGATACTAGTAAGCCACAAGCCACGTGGCAAAGTATAGATGTATAGAAATTCGTTAATTTAAGATGTAAGAGCTAGCTAACAAGAAGCCTGCCATGGCAATAGTTTAAAAATAACACAAGCCTGTGTGTGTTTATTTGGGTCTGAGCAGCTGCAGACCATGTGGGACACAGGAAACTTTCAGCTATAATCCTATGACCCACAGGTCCTATTGCTTCAACAATCAGGAAAGAAGACACAGAAAGATGAAGATGAGGAAGAGAGGAGAGGCTGTGGATGAAGGAGAAGCAGAAGAAAGGAAGAGAAATGAGGAGGAGGAGGGGGTGGGGGAGTAGTGTATAAAATGATGACATAGCCGGTCACAGGTGTGATTAAGGGGGAGGTTTTTATTGAAGGTATGAGGAAAGAACAGCCAGAGGCATCTGGAAATGTCCAGAGCAGGGAGAGAGTGCAGCAGACCGAACATGGCCAGCGGAGTGGACATGGTCATGGGCGGAGGAGTGAGAGGTCCAAGAGCAGAATAGGAAAGAGGGAGCCAGGCCAAAGTGGCAGAGAAGAAATGAGTAGCTGGGGAGGAAGCCCGGGAGCTGGAGAAGTTTAGGGTAAGGAGCAGGATGAGAAGAGCCAGGATGCCAGCACAGACTCTGAAATGTGTAACAGGTACCCGTGACACTGAGGGACCTGGAGACCAGCATGTGTCTGACACACGAATCGGCACTTCTGCCTAGAATAAGGCAGTGGCTCCTTTGGTAGAGGGGAACTGGCTTCATAAGCTTCTGAGGAACGCTGGCGTTTGTCTAACCATCAGAATTTGGGCCTGATAAGGAGGAGGCGGGGCACAATACAGACACTAGGCTCGAGGAGGAAACGCAACCAGAAGGGTTGTCACTGAAATCCTGTGAACCAAGCTACAGCATTTCACCTGATTCTCCTAATTAGTCGGTGTTGGCAAAGCTTACGCCATGAGATAAGCACATTAAGTGCTAAGTAGTATTAATTAATAATATTAGTAAGCTGGTGTCATGGCATACACCTGTAATCACAGCGCTCAGGACGAGGATGCAGGAGAATCATCCACTGCCTAGCAAAACCCCAGTTCAAAACTAATAACAGTACAAATTATATCGGCAGGGACTTCTGTGTGTAAATAACCTAGGCCTGCCAGTGCAGTGATCAGAATCAATGTTTCACATTCTTCAAATTTTCTTTCTAGAATCTTATAAAGCTCCTGACTGCGAGAGAAGATAGCCTCAGGGCATATACAGTGGGGGACCCTCCTACATGAATCATCAATAAAGAAAACGCCCACAGACTTGCCTACTGGGTAATCTGATGGAAGCATTTTCTGCATTAAGGTTGCCTCTTCCCAGGTGATCCAGTTTGTGTCCAGATGATCAAAAAACTATCCAGCACATTAAGTGAAGACTTGCTGTAGATACGCCAGTTCTCAACAGCCTGTTATTAGAAGGGTCTGTGTGAGAGTGCTATGATCCCAAGAACAACACTGCTGTGGGAACCTCAGTCTTCTCAGATGGTGACAACCTCTCTTCAGTTCCAAACAAATCAAATTACAACCCCCATTCAACTTATTCTGGAGTTGCTTTCCTGGAAGTTTCAATATAAAAATATATATATTTGGGTTTTTGAGACAGGATTTCTCTGTGTAGCTTTGCGCCTTTCCTGGAACTCACTCTGTAGCCCACGCTGGCCTTGAACTCACAGAGATCTGCCTGCCTCTGCCTCCCGAGTGCTGGGATTAAAGGCGTGTGTTTTAAGATCATCCCAAATATCCTGCAAGTGGACTTTAAAGTTCACTATTGAGGCTCAGTTCACCATTGTCAAGAACATCCTGTGAGATCTTCCAGAGATGTATGACACCATCCTGTGCATTTCCACTGTTAGCCCCACCCTCAAATGTCAGCAGAATTCCTCACCATATCAGCTTCCAAAGCAAGTGTTTTATTTGAAAGCCAAATTCAAAACAACCCCATGGGTGGCATGGCCCCTCTTAAGAATCATATATCTAATTTTCCATTCTATTGTTTTTCACAAATGAGGATATTATGTCCACAAAGAATATGCCCAGGATCACAGATCAAATCTTGGCAGAGCCAAGTAAGAAGTACATAGGAGTTGAGGCAGCTGGGTACTTCCTATGAGCCGGGTCTGTCCTCGGCTCCTTATGGGAATGTGCTGACCTGCCTGTCACATTAACCAAGCAGATGACTCTGTTACTGGAGTTGTTGGGTCAGAGCCAAGGTTCTGGCAGCCCTAATGAACTAGGTTTGTCCACCTGTCCTCAGTAGATATGGTGGCTTGAATGAGAAACGTCCCTCATAGGCTTCTGTACCTGAGCATTTGATTCCCAGTGTGGTGCTATTTGGAGGATTATAGAACTTTCAGGATGGGGAGCCTCATTGGAGGAAGTACATCAGTAGAGATTTTAGAGCCTCAGCATGCTCCTGTTCCTTCTCGGCTTCCTGTGTGTGGTTGAAAGTGTGACTAGCCAGTTTCCTGCTCCTGCTTCTATACTTTCCCTGCCTGATGCCAGGCCTTCCCCACCATGATGGACTCTACCCCTCAGGAACCATAAGCCAAAATAAACCCACTCTTCCTTAACTTGTGTTTGTCAGACTGTTTTATCAGAGCAACAGAAAACTAACGACTCCAATGGACAAGTGAGAGAGGCAAACTAATAGCTAAAAGTCAAAAGGGGAGATGTATTCAGTGGGCGACACTGGGAAGAAAAACAAAAAGGTTTAGCCCCTCTTCCAAGTCCATCTCTGGGGTCCTAACATGAGATTTGGCTTAAACAGAGATCTATTGAAAGCCACGCATAGCTAAGCAGCCCTTGTCAGTGGTCCCAACATCAGCATCCAGGCCTCAGTCTCTCCCGCGAGGAGCCCTGACAAGTTGTCAGAACTGTGTGAAGTATCTTTCTGGAGGACGAATTCCGCCAGCTGGCACCAGGGTCACAACCTCTTCCTTCTCCCTGCATGAAATTCCTAGAGAAAACCTAGTTCCTTGAAGTATGGTTGGAATTTACAAAGGAAAGGTATACTCGTCTTTTCAAAGTGTCTTCGTTCTCGTCAAGACTTTATTGGCCTGTGAACTGCTAAGACGGAGGCACAGAGGAAGGAAATGGCTTTCAGTGGGTCTTAGAGTAAGTCAGCCTCTGGGATGATTCTGAGACACAAGGCAAGCTTCAGGCTTGGGACTGGGAGGGAGCTCAGAAGGGAGAACTCAGAAATGCAATGTCCCCATGTTCAAAGGACAAAGCACAAAGGACACTCTCATTGTCCCTGCTCGTGAGGGTGTGCCCAATGTGTCTCCAAGTCTTGGTCTGCTTCCCACTGTTCTTATCTTCTTTCTTGTGTTTCTCTTGCAGACGTTCATGTCCAAGTCAAGGCTGCTTTGGATCCCACTGGGCCTTTCTTAAAAGGACACGCACTCATTGCTCCATGAGTTCCAGGGTCGTCCACTAAGGCTTCTGTGGTCCTTTTCCATCAGCAAACCTTCACTGCAACCCTACTGTTCAAGATGAGTGGCTTTCTGGCCTCACTGGACCCCCGACGGGTGCAGTGGGGGGCTGCCTGGTATGCAATGCACTCTCGGATCCTGCGTACCAAACCAGTGGAGTCCATGCTGGAAGGGACTGGAGCTACCACAGCGCACGGTACCAAGCTAGCCCAGGTGCTCACCACCGTGGACCTCATCTCTCTTGGAGTCGGCAGCTGCGTGGGCACTGGCATGTATGTGGTGTCTGGCCTGGTGGCCAAGGAAATGGCAGGACCCGGTGTTATTGTGTCCTTCATCATTGCGGCCGTTGCATCTATATTATCAGGTGAGTGTCTAGAGAAGTCCCACGGCTCGCTGACCTGGTTGCTGCTCATTCCACTCTTTGTTTATTTCTGTGTTGCGGGGCACGTGCCAGAGCCTGTGTGTGGGAGACACCGTGTGGGAGCCAGTTCTCTCCTGCCACCATATGGGTCCTGGGGGTTGAACCCACGCTGGCAGTGTGAGCAGCGGACACCCTTCCCACGAGCCGTCTCCCCAGCCTCTTCTAGAAGAGTTAGCAATGAGCTGCCCCAAGGGGCAGTGAAGGGACTTGTCTGCTCTTTTGGTCAATGCTGGGCAGAAAAGGGACTAGGTTTTGACCTGATTGCAATAGCTTCCATTTTCTGGGGTTTTCAGTACAAGCAACCGTTCTGGTGCCCGGGTTTCTGGTCTCCTACTTCTCACTCTCTGCTATGTTCCGGTTACTCTGTTTCCTTGGAGGATGGGTTGAGTCTCCGCAAGAGGAGCAGAGCACACAGCTAGTGTAAAACAATAGCAAAGGATGTAGAGAGTAGCAGGGCAGCAAGTCCTGTGGCATGACTGGGACTTGGAGGGGGAAGCCAAGAAACAGGATGTAGTGCTTCTGTAGAGACACATCACTGCCCACCTCAACGGCCTTGGTGAAGCATCACCTACAGGGAGGTCAGCAGCCGCTCTCTCCCTACAGGGTCATACAAGCAATTCAAAAGCAGGATGCCAAGGCCTACGCGTCGGCCGGTGATTGGTGGAACGGCTGGGTCTCCTATTGCCTTTCTCCCTTTCCTACATTTCCTCTAGAGCTGCAGGAAGGACATATATCTTCCCAGAGTGCCAGAAGTAGGTCAACAGACAACTTTTTTAAAAAGATAAAAGGAAAAAGAGAATACCCTTATTCTTGGTGGCCATGACACAAACATGAGATTTTGCTGGACACCGGCAGCTGATTGTGTGTGTTAGCAATGCACTGGCAGTGAGCGTTTGGACTCTTCCACTGTTTCAAGCGCAGCAGTTCTAAAGGCAGGACAGGAGTTCTGTGACTTGTGTGCAGCATCACAAGAACAGCCCTGCAGCACCATCCATCCCTACTAAATATTAATACTTAGTCTCCGTCCATGAAGGAAGAAGACAGACTACAAGCAGCAAACCCCAAAGTATACTGGCTGTTACCTGACGGTTTTCACTTAATAAGGGAAGATCCACCGGGACCAAGCCTAGCAGTCAACTCTACCCTTTCCCCTTTCCTGGATTCAACCTTTCTTCTGCATGAAAACTCTAACAAACTGGGTTTATGCAGATTAAAGGACTCCTGACCCTTCGAAATGAAATGCATTATTCACATGAATGAATTATCTGGCTACTTGAAACAGTATGTGAATTCAATTCCTAAATTTTCTTGACAAAAATTATTCATCACAGGTTTGTGGCTCTACACGGACCATCATTATAGAACTGATTAGAGGTGGCCGAACAACAGGCAGGCATCTGTTCTGGTGTCAGTATGCTGCTGTAATAAAATACCCAGAAGCAACTTAAGGTGTAGAGAGAGGTTTCGGGCACAGTCCATCACTGTGGGTTACAGCAAGAGTCATGAGACAGCTGGCCATGGGCAGGAACAGGAAGAAGACAATGCATCCATGGTCACTTGTCTGCTGGGTAGCGCTCAGCTCGACTTCTCTAGTCTTCAACAGTTCAGGACCCCCATCAAGGGAATGGTGCACACCCACAGTGGCCTGGGTCTTCCCACATCAAATAACTTAAAGACGATCTCCCATGGACATGCCCACAAACCAACCCAATGTAGACAATCTCTCATTAAAACTCTTTTCCAGGTGACACAGGGGCATAGGACAGACACCTAAGATCCCTGCCAGTTAATGAGTGCTATACAGCTTTCCCTAGACCCCATTCTAGTTGGGTACAGTCCCCAGGCTGAGATGATTCCTGTATGTGAATCATCCTTCACATGCAATGCATCCTGGGAGCCCATCCCCCGCCCCGGTGCTCACAGCACTGTGTAATCTCTCCTTCTTCACTGATGGAGAGCTCAGAACTCACCCAGCCATACGATGCTGGAGCCAGCCTGTACCAGCTGTTCAGCAGCCCTGATAGGTCACACCACTTTCCAGCTTAACAGTCAGTGACATCACACTGCAGACCTGAAATCGGCTGTGGTGAGATGGTGGTTTTGCTGCTGCTGTTTGCCATGGAATTGGTTGTTTAGCATTTCCCAGCCTACTCCTGGCCTGGCTCCACCACAGACCCCGATGCCCTCGGCAGCCTATCTTCACCACCGCACCAGGCACCAGAAGAGAAACACCTGCCTCCCCCCATCTCTCCAGATGGCCCCATCCAGAGCATCTTTCCACACTCTCTGACTGACTCATCTGCCTGCTGAAGCCAGCCAGGATCCTTCAGAGCCTCAGTCAGAGCCAAAACCAAAATAGCTTGGGCCAATATTACCAGATTCACAGTGGGTTTCTCCAGCCTGGTCTTACACTACTGTGCTCTTTGGTCACAAATCCCCCCCCCCAAATCTAATTTCCCTACCCTGTCATGCCCATATCACTTAGAACTTAAGCGATCTTCCCACTGTTCCATAACAATAGCCCTATTCCTCTCCATCTCCACCCTTGGTGATACCTGTTTCCCTTCTCCTGGCCTTCATTAAAACCTGACTCAGCACCTGGAAGCCTAGTCTACAACCTGTGCTTGTCTCCAGCAACAGTTACTGAGAAGAAGGGAGTAAAGGGGATGCTAGAGTAACAGAACTTAGTTTGTCCTGAGCAGAGAGAAAAGAACAATGGGGTTAAGGGTGCTTGCAAAGGAGAAGCAAATTGTGCTGAACACCAGGGAGGCTGAGGACAGGAATCCATGAGAGTGATGGTGTCCACGGCGACTGGTTGGATCAGGAGAGTGAATGTGCACAGGGTCCAAAGATGTCCCCAAATGAAATGTCACAGTGAAGCCCATTCTTTCGTATACTAACAAAAATTAGTAACAATAAACAGAAAGGAGAAAGTGGTAAGATCAGTGGAAATTGCACTGGAATATAAATACTAACAAAGTGAGGCTAAAGGTAAGAAGTGACATCAGAGAGGGAAATGTGTAAAATATAAAATCTGAAGTGATGTGTGATCAGTAAGGCTGAGTTTAGACTTGGAACCCAGTTAAGCTACTGACTAGCTGTGAAACTTAAGGCAAGCGCTGGAGCTTCTCTAAGCCTTGGTTTCCCCATTTTGAAAATAAAAATATCTTTATTGTAAAGTTGCTGTGCGATCTAAATGAGATACCTACCAAGTACATGGTACAAAGTGTAGCACACAGCACTAAGTAAGGTGTCCTGTGTCAAATTCTATTTTAGGTACCTGCTGTAAAATAGAGTATTTTGGCTCACTATGTCTTTTCAAGCTAGGTGTGTTTTCTACTTCTATTACTTTAACTAAATCCCAGAATCTAGCTAACCTATATCTACAGGTGTTTACCTTGCCATTTTGGAGGTCCAGACTTCAGCACTGGCTCTACCTGGTGCCCTTCTGAAATGACATCTTGGTCAAGGCCAGCCTAGGGTACGTGAGGATTTATCTCAACTTTTTCCCTATATATTCTAGATGCAAATCCCTCATTAAATGTGTAATTTTTGTTTTATTGAGACAGGGTCTCATTATATAGCTTCGACAAGCCTGGAACTCACTATGTGGACTAGGCTGGTCTCAAACTCATAGGGGTCCACCTGCCTTTGCAACCCAAGTGTGGGGATTAAAGGTGTGAGTTGTCAAACCTGGTTTTAAATGTGTATCTTTGTAAATGTTTTCTCCTAGTTTGTGGCTCTCCCTTTCATTTCCGTCTGTTTGTATTTTAAAATACTGGTGTCCAAAGTACAGGCCCTGAAATCCAGCTGGGACTGGGGGGGTGCCCTGCCGCTGGTGTTTCCTAACCATCCCCTGAGTGTTTAACACACAGCCAGAGCTGGCAAGTGCTGTCAATAGGAAGCAGGGCCCACCTGCCAAGCCAGAACCCACGTGGAGAGGAAAATGCTAAAAGGAGCTCTGTATGGCCAGCAGACTCCTGGGAAATGTTCTTGGCCTCAGCTCTGTTCCCCATGCTACATCAGCCTTTGTGGAACGTGAAGCAAATGGAACTCTAGAGCTGCTCTCTCTCCAACTTACCATGACCCACAGGTCCAGCAACTTCCCCAGCTCCACTCCAGTGTGGTCACTGCCCTCCGGCCTGTCCCAGGTGGTGGACATTTTATCACAGGAAGCAGCTTGTACCCAACACTTCCTCTTTTGTCCAAAGGCCTCATCTGCTCGCTAACAACTCCACAGGCCCTATGTCCAAGCCTCCAAAGCCCTTTTTATATTATGTTTTTGATACAGAACATCATTTTTTTCTTCCTCGTTCTTACCTACAGCTCTGTGGAGAGCTTTGGAGGCAGGATGGCTTGTGTGCTTTCTAATTTACTTGGCTGCAGATGAAACAAAGTCAAGTTAGGATGCCCACAGTGTCTGGCCTTTCGAAATCCCGAAAGACACCCATGAGCCTGAGGAGGAGACGAGGGTCAAGCTTGATGGGTTTTGTCCCCTGGGTTTCTGTCTGGTTCCCTCTTAGTATGATTAAAACCGGATGCACATGGCTAGGGAGAAGCTCTGTCAGTCAACTGGCACTTGCCAAGTACGTAAGGTCAGATGTCACTCTGTAGGCATGGAGCAGTTCAATGACACAAGCAGATGTGCATCTCAGTCACTCAGTGGAGGCAGAATAAAGGCAGGAAACCAGATGTGCACATGAGGAATGAGACAGAAGAGAGACTATGGGGCTCTGAGCTCTGACAGTGAAAGTGAAAATGAAGCTTAGAACAGAGAGGACTTGGATGGATGAAGAACAGTGAGGAAGAGGAAGACAGGCTCCCTCTATCCAAGAAAAGACATGCAGTTGATGAAAATATTTTGAAATAACATTAAAACAATGGTTGACAACATAGTTCTGGTAACAGAAATGAGGGTCAAGACAGAAAACTAGCAAGGGGGA